AATGACCTTTGAAGCTGTAAGTGCACAAAAAAACTGCCCCAGATTGGAAACCTTGAGGCAAGAGCTCAGAATTCATTGAAACAGGGGCAGCTGTGTACCAAGTACTTTCCAGAGGAAGCTATTTTATTTGGGAAAGCAATCATGGAACTCGGAGTCCTCTTTGAGTACTGGAACTCAAAGATCGTATACATTTCACTTTGTTTTTTAATTTTTCCTCCCCTTGGGAGCAGCTGGGTTTTCCCCTGATTATCCCATTCTCATGGTCTCATCTGTTTTGGCATCACCTCTGTTTTCCTTGCTTTGCCTGGGGGACGAGGGCTCCGCGAACAGCCAAACCCCTTCCATCCTAAGCCTGTGAGATGGAAACTGCCTCCACATGTGAGGATGGTGCTGTGCATCCAGAAAGGAAATCGAGGAGCCAGCAGGGATTTGCACTTGTGGGCACATTGAGGTGAACCAGAGGCAGTTTAGGACCTCTCTGCTGAGAGCATCTGCACAGCTGAGCCTGTGAGGGGATGATGCAATTTGGACCACAGAGCGCTTCCCCATCCCCAGCTCATTTAAAGCACAGGTGAGAAGCTGTGGCAAATGCTCTGGAAAGAACGCAACTCATCATGAGATCTAATTTGTCCCTAGATAGCGTGTTAGCCAGCAGAGGGTTTGCCAAAGGCATTTAAAAAGCTTCTTTGGCCTTCAGCAGGGAAAAGGGAAACCAAGGAAGAACACCTGTTTTAAGGAATTGGAGCAATTCTGGAGAGCATATGCAGAGGCTTCCAGAGGGTTTTTAAAATGAACTTGTCAAGTAACTTAAATGGAAATGTTATTCCTAAAGTTTATTCTGAGATTTGTACATGCTTAACCCATAAACCCACAGCAAACAAACAGGGGATAAAAGCCCTGAGGGTAAATAGAGAGAACAAATCCCACGTGGATCACTGCAGTTGTGGTGGGGGAAATCTTCTTGGAAGAGGCTGTTTGACCCGTTTTCACTCTTTCTGCTCGCACTCCGCTGGATATAACACACCAGAGTATATATTTCATCCCATTAAACCCTGTTTTAGTGGGAGTATTGCAGCCCACTGAGGAAAATCAATGATGCCAAGGAAATCTTACCTCAGTTATTAGTGCTGGGAAGGTATGTGAAGATTTTTAATAATAAGGGAGGCTAAAGAGAGATGTCTGTTTTTCATAATTGCACAGTGCTCCCAAGACAGCTGTTCAGCCATCTTGAAAATCAATGTTTTGATGCCCTTTGAACCTTCTTTTCCTGTTGAGTGTCTCTCCTACAGGTTGCTCCCCAGGATGAAAACAATAAAAGCAAATATATAACAGTAAAGGCCTGAGGTTAATGTCTTTAACAAGATAATGTTACTTAAGGGAACTGTAAACCAAATCATTCCTAAATTCCATTTGTTCTTTGCAATCTAGGATATATTATGAAACCATATGTGAGCATATGGATGCATACATAGTGTGCAGGATTTTTTACAGTAATACCACTGCATTTTCACATTGCATGTTCCAGTATTGCCATATCACATGGTTTGCTGAGAATTACTATTATTTTAGCCATTAATTCTTTTATTAATAGCTTGCTATTGCAGCTGTGTCATAAAGAATCACATGGTAACTTAACTGACTAATGTGCAAGATCTAAAATATTTTGCACCAGGTCATTTTACCAAGCAGAATTTCTTTCTTTGGATTCAGTACCACAAGGTAATTCATTCCAACAAACTGGCACATACCCTTAATATTTTTTAATTTTCACCAGAGAAGAACTTGAAAAAAATTACTTCAAGCTGCCTTCCTTGTGTATATATGAACATTAGGAAGAAAAGAAAACATGAAAGGGTAAGTAGTCTTCTGATGCACATGTACTGTTTTTTACACCCACTGAAAATGTATCTTGAGACATGTTCAGGTTATTCTCTCCAAAAGTCCCTTTTGCAGAATTCTTAGACATTCCCTGCAATTCAATTAACTCTGGGCATATTTGAAATGAAATGAGACTCTCTGACCCTACATGTGTGTTTTTCCTTGATTTTCATGGAAATGGTAAATATAAATAAGTGCAGCCCAAAGAAGCGAGACTAGTTTATCTAACTTTATATTATCTGCAATGCTATAGAACCTGGAAATAAAACAGAAACATAATCCTGCCAAAACATTTTGGAGGTTGTCCAGAAAAAAATCTAATGACACTTGTTTCTTCTGGTATCTCCATCACTGGATTATTTTCCATTAAGACAAGTGAAGGAAAATCCCTGCCAGTCACAGTCACACTCCGAAGACAGAAGTTTCAGCTCCTTGTGCCTCCAAATTGCAAAAGTATGTAGATGCAGAGACAAAGGATACAAGAACTTCATCACCATGAAAAACCCTGAAAGTTTAGAAAAAGTTGGCCTGAGTGCAGTTCTTCCTCCTCTTTTCCTCCTCCTGAGTATAAGGGGAGGAATTGAATATTTGGATTGAGATCTGCTATGAGGATCAGGCAGGAGGGTATTTGACTGTGAATCAAGAATCTCTACAAGTGGTCAAGACGGAGAAGACAAAGCTCTTCAACACTATTTATAGCAGGGAAGCTTATTAATTATCAGCACCATCTACCTCTGTGCCTGTGAACCATCAAAGCTCTCTGAAGATCATCACTGTGCCTTGCAGGACAGTGTTATTTGTACCACCACGCAAACTAGAGGCTTTGGAAAAGTCCATGGATGAGCACTGAAGGTCTTGCCTTAGAGAATTCCCCTCTGGGACAGTGAACAGACACACATGGAAACCGGAGTGAGTTGCCCCAAGGCCACCCAACAGGTCAGTGATGGAGCCAAGGACCAGCATCTTTGACATCTTCCCACGGAACCACCGAGTTTCTCATTAGTCTCGGAAGCTTCAGCAGTTGTTTCCTCATCTGTTCTTCGTGGAAGAGCAACACAGGCCTTAAGACCTTTGCTGCAGCCCGATCTGGGCACCATAGACAAACCCCACAAGGCACAATGGGGTGAGGCATAATGTGAGGAGATCTCCCACCTCAAAGGCCCTGGGCTCTCATTTGGCCGCCTGAGCCACCTCTGTGGACACTGTGACCTTTGCTGGCAGTACAGCCAAGGTGCTTCAACAAGTTCAGGTTTAACAGGACTTGTGCAGGGTTTTACTGCTGCCCCATAAAACTCCTTTTAGAAATGCAAACAGTACCTCTTTCTTCTTGCACAGGTGACAGGTTTTCACGCCAAAATATATTTTTAGAGAGGTTCCAAGTATTTCACTTGCTCTCCCAATATTAATTACAGAATAATCCAACCTCACTACGCCATCACAGAGGCTGGTATAGCACAGCCTTGGGGCAGGGGACATGTTTATCTCATTAGTTGTCATTCTTCCTTCTGTGCCATCAGCAGAAGTATCACTCCACAGTCCAGAGTAGAAGGGATAAACCAGTACTGTTCTCCTATCCTCCCAAGATACAACTACACTTTTCCCAACTCAGGTTGCACATGTCTTCATCCATACAGTGTTTATGAAGGAATAGGAAAAAGATGCTGTTTAAAGCAGCAGACATTTTTTAATTCATATTTATTAAAGGAAATAGATTAGCAAGGTGATGTCTTTCCTGATAGCAAATATATTCCCAGAATTAACATCTTCTGTAGTGGATTAGAGGAAGATCCTACTGTATGAATAAATGGAAAAAGCATCTGACAACATTCAGTGTCTATCAGGTTAAATTTTTATATTTGGAGTAAATCCTGAATTATAACTTGGAAAAAGAGAAAGAAAAAAAGGAGAAGTAGGAGATTTGATAATCATTTAATTCTGAGTGGCAGGTGAAGGTTGCAAGGAATTGCTCATTATTTCTCAGAAGCTGGGAATTTCAAATTAGATGAGCAGGCAGTAGTTCTGAAACAACAGAGTAATTTTTTTATGACACTTCATCACTGTATGTGGTAAAAAAACATTGCCTTGAGGATGTTTTGGGTACCAAGAGTACAAATGCATCCAAAAATCCACTGTCCTCTCTGCTGCCACTGGGAAAAGAGTTACAAATTTAAGTACAGATACGCATAATTGAATAAAAACAGTGTATTTATATCTAAAAGCCCTTGAGCACTTTTGGCTCTGGGTTCTGTTTCCACTGATTTAAAGTTCCTCATGGTTTGCAACGGATTTTTCAAGCGATCAAACACTTCAGTTTTTTACTGTGTGTCTCCCAGTGTGAAATTTTCATTCTGGAAAAAGAAACCCTGTTAGCATGAGATTTGACATCCCTGGAGGTGGAGACACATGCATATGTGTTCGAGTGTCTATGTCAGAAAGACAAGCTGACACTCTATCCTAATAAACATATTCTAAAACAACTGCAAAGAAACCTTTACCTCAACCTCCCACCAACCGAAGATATTTTTAGATTTTCTTTTTTTTTTCTTAAATTAAAAAATAACCACAAAAAGCCCCCAAAATCTTTTAATCTAATCTTGGCTATATTTTCCCCTTCAATGCCTGAGGGATCCAAGATTATTTATAACAGGAAACCTTTGATTTCTGGGCTTTTATGGTGGTTTTTTGCATCGTTCCAACTCACAGAACACAGTTTGATTTTTGAGCAGAAATCAAATTGCAACATGGACCCAGGGGTGCCTGGAAGCACCTCCCTGAAGGAGGGAACGCCTGTTCCCTCCTGCTGCCGTGAGCTGGAGAAGAATTCAGTCCATGGAAAGGGTTTGGATAATCCCACCCTTAAGCAACGCAAGCTCAGGAGATGGGATGATGGGAAAGCACCACCCGTGTCCCGGAGAACTCCATCCCTGTCTGTGCCTTGCAGGAACAGCCTGGAGAAGGCAGCGACAGACACATTAAGGACCCCCTCGGGAATTTCTCTTCCCATTAGCACGGCCAGCGTGAAGTTTGCACGGCGGGGTCAAGGCAGGGCCTGACCATCTCCCTGACAACAGCACGGCCGGAGGGGCCTCCCCCGGCCTTCCCAAGGCCGGTGGAAAGTTTCTCACTGACTTCATGGGTTGGAGTGAGGGCCACGAGAAGCACGTGGATGGCACTATCCCATTTTTTTCCACATTGCACAACACGCATGGATGTAACAGTGAGTGTAAAATTCAGCTCTACCTCTTGGAGAGGAGCCTCATCCCTCCAGCATTGCCCCCTCCAGCCCCATCCAATGTGACACTGAGCTCAAATAAACCTGTTTGAGCTCTGCCAGACTGATTTTAAAGAGGATCTTGTTCCACTCCTCTTCACTCCAAGCTGTCCTCAATTCTTATATCTGTAGCAAGACACCTCCTGTCCCAAATGAAGGAGCCACTGCCTTTCTGAGTGACAGATGTCAGTCACTCCAGGTGATGCCGCTGGGCACCGGGCTTTGACTGATCCGGGCTGGTGATTTGTGCAGACAACAAGGTATGTTCTTCTTTTCAGTAAAAATTTCCCTACAGGACACAAGCCAGTGGAAAAACCACTGCTGAAAAAAATTCAGGTGCATGGGAGCCTGTAGAGTGGAAGTGATTTCAGGGTCAGGTGTTGGATCACCTTCTCCACTTCTTTGGAGGAAGAAGTTTCTTCAACTTTTTTTGAAGAACCAAACTTCTCCAACTTCTTCAGAGTCTACCATCTCCACCTTCTTTGCAAGACAAAAAAAAAGCTTCTTTGGTGCCTTGGTCCTTGTGAGGGATCAGAATAATGGTATGTTTATTATGAGAAATATTAATATTTTTTCCTTGGGAATGTCATCTTTAATGACTAATAAACTTGCTGAAAACAAAATGAGGGCAAGAAGCTGCTCAGTGAATGAGATTTTACTGCCACTTTTGTTGACAATGTCTTTCTAATATTATAACATACATTCAACATTGAGTGGAAATATGTTTGTAAAGATCAGCATCAGAGTCAAAGCCATTGCAGACCTGAAAATGTTAGTAATAAAAAAAAAAAAATCACGTGGTGATGCTTTTCGTGCAAGCTTCAATCACCAGAAAACCAGGAAAGTTTCCCTGCATGTTTTAAAGAAATATATATAAATATATACGTATGTATATATAATTAGGTCCTTGCAGATGGAAAAATGAATGCCAAGCTCAGCTTAGAAGAGGTAAGTGAGATTTCTGCACACAGAAAATTTCCTCTCCTTCCCTGCACAGTAGAAATAGGATTTTAATACAGGCATTTAATCAGACCTTATATAATTTCAACACTAACAGCTTTTTATGGTCCCTTTTAATCTTGCCTTAATTATGGTTATGGAGAATGTGATAATGGTTTTTAGTTTGCTGGCAAGCTGAGAAAACTAATTTTATTGCTGGCTTTTCCAGGCACTTCTCCAGGCGGATGGGCTGAGTCTGGTGCCAAGCATGGTCTGAGACTGGTCCATCTCCTGACTTCCTCACTGAGGTGAAGGGAATACACAGAGTAGGTTGCAGAGCAGATACTGCAGCATATCCCTGGTTGAGCCAGCCCAAATCCCATTTCTGACCCTGTAATTCCTTTCCTTGCTGTTTATTCACTCCTATTCACACACTAAAAAAAGCCAGTGGCTCCTTTCCATCATGACCAAAACTGGAGCCATCACACACATCCAGCAGAGAACCCACTGATGGAGGAGAAAAACTTAATTGATCTGGTTGAATTAAAAAAAAAAATATTATTAGGAGAGGAACTTATTTCTCCTGGATAGAGCAGCAGGGCACAGAGAAAAGGTGTGGTGGATGGGGAGGTCATTTCTCCCATCTTGTTAAGGTTACAACCACTTCAGTGACTGCACTGGCTGGTCCACGATGGGTAGAGGCTTGATCCAGAATGTTTTTCCCATGTTTCAGAGGTGCTCATCTATCAGCCAGGAATCCAAACCCACAGACTGGAATAAATCTTAGAAGATCACTTTTAACTCACAGCAGTTCAAATAGTAAAAATAAAAAGGCTGCACTGAGCTCTGGCAAACCCGTTCCTTCCAAAGTTTAGTTCTTTTCTTTCCTCATGAAAAATGATGGTTCCCCCTGCCTTTCCTCTGCCTTCAATCCCAGCAATGCTGCATTTATTCTATTTGACCATGTATTTTCCTCCCTCTTGCACCAGAGCATTAACGAATGGGAACATTTTTCTTACTTTCAGAGACGCTGCGAAAGGTTTCAAAGCGAATTCTTTGGAAGCCCAACAAGAGCCCCCACTTCCCCCTGTAACACGTTCATGGCGAGGAACCCAGCGAGGAGAAATCACCGTGACCCCCATCCTCGTCAGGAAAAATAAATACATTTCCTTCCATCTGAGCTGAAATTCTGCGTGGAACAACTTAAGCCTTTCCCACCACCTCTGGGCACTGAGGTTTGTAATTGAAATCCTGAGGATCAGAGTTGGCCAGCAGACAAACAGGGAACTGTCATCCTTTAGCATCTGCTTTGCTTTTGGGTGATTTAGCTGGCCAATTGATCTTTGCTTTTCATTAATATTTAATTTTTTTTCCTCTATTCCTTTTGAGCATGGCAAGGTGTTATGAGTGTTACTCTTTGGATCAAGGGAGGAAAGTTTCATTCCCCCATATCCCTCTGCTGATCTACCTCCCACCCAGCCAGGAGAGATTGTTCCAGGGATGGCTGAGAAAACCCTCTGGCTTTCTGGGATACTTTAATTGCTCAGCCTTTCTGCCAGGAGGAAGCTGATCACTGCCAGCTCCTGCAGAAAGCTTTCCAGGGTGATGCCTGACTATGAGAAATTAGATGGACCTGAGAATCCTCGTGCAACTTCAAAGCTGGTCTTGCTTTGAAAGCCCAGGAGATCTTCAGAAGTCCCTTCCAACCTAAATTATTCACGGCTGCTTTAACATAGGAGTCTCAATCTTCATAAGATGATAAAGCCCAAAGCTCTGGTTTCATAGAATAGAATCCCAGAATCCCAGAACAGTTTGGGTTGAAAGGGACCTTAAAGCTCATCTTGTTCCACCCCCTGCCACGGGCAGGGACACCTTCCACTAGCCCAGGTTGCTCCAAACCTTGTCCCACCTGACCTTGGACACCTCCAGGGATGGGGCAGCCACAGCTTTTCTGGGCAACCTGTGCCAGGGCCTCCCCACCCTCACAGGGAAGAATTCCTTCCCAATATCCCATCTAACCCTGCCTTCTGTCAGTGGGAAGCCATTCCCTCTTGTCCTGTCACTCCAGGCTCTTGCACATAGTCTCTCCCCATCTTTCTTGCAGGTCTTCAGGTACAGGAAGGCCATCATTAGGTCACCCCAAAGCTTCTCTTTTCCAGGCTGAACAATCCCAATTTACAATGCTCCAGCCCCAAAGGGAGTCAAAATGTTGTAAAAACTTCTTACAAGTGAATCTTGAATCAGAAAACTGGTGACAGGGAGGCTGGGGGGAACCACCTGTCTGGACTTTAGAAACCTGGAGATATCAAGCTCCAAACCTCCAGCACTCCAAACTTTCTCTAGGGTCCTTCCAAATGTTCTCTGTGCCTGAAAGGAACCAAAAATCCCTTCAAAAGGCACCCACATCTAAACACAAGAGGCTGGCAGGTACCAGCAGGGCTCCAGGAAATTCTTACAGCCCTCCTGGTTTATTTATGAGGCGTCTTAGGCACTATAAACAGCTTTTGTGTGTGTGATGTGAATTGCACCAGGAAAGGAGCAGGGGATCAGGACAAAAGCAAGAAAACTTGGTTTGAGATAACACCCAAACACTTCAAGAAGAAGAAACTGTGCAATGCCTGGAGTGGGTGCCTGTCCTCCACTCCCTCATTCCTCCTTGGAGAGCACTGGGCTCCCTCACACACCAGGGATGGAAACAAAAAGTGTCATTAACATCCACTGCTGTTTAAAGGTTACTCAGGTGACCCTGACACAAACCTCTAGGGAACATAAGTGAGTGAGATCTCAATTAAAATGAGCTGGAAACTATTCAACACACATTTTCCCCTTTCCAAGACAACAAGGCTTCGACTAACCAAAATTGGGAGAAGTCACTTAGTTTCCCTGGGTTTTTGTTGAGGCTTTTTTCCTCCTCTTAATCAGTGGAGAAAAATGGCATGCCCAGATAATTTCTACAGCACAATTTCTCTTTCTTTGGACTTTCTTTATCCTTTGTTTTCATTTTTAGCCAGTTTTGGCCTGGTCTTTTTTTTGAAAGAGTGAAAGCATCCTTCTAAATATGGGCAACAAATGAGGAAACCCAGAGAGCTCAGCTGACATCAGAGATGATTTGAGGTCCAACCTGGGGGCACATCTCCTCAAAAAAAGGTGCCCTGATCCATGATTTGCATGTCCTCCAACCTGCATGCCCTGTTCTACCTTTGGGGGTAGAAACAACCCTTGTAGACAGCTATGAAAATCCTGCATATCTACAGACAGCCCAGCCCTTTTTATTAATTGTCTCCTTATTAAGGTACAGGCAACCTTAATATCAGCGAGGGAAGATGTCCAGTTTGTCACAACATATCACAGGAGAAGCCAACCAAGAGGTACTGGATACGGAGAGCTCATTCTGGTCCTCCCAGCTTTCTTTTCCAGTTCTGAAGTTCTCTGTCTTGGACTCTGGGAGTTTTGATGCCACCTTAGGAAAACAAAAATATATACACATTTTTAAAAAACGTGAAAAGATTATCATCTTGCTGCTCTGTATATTCCACCCCAATGAACACTTTAACAAATGTAAATAAAACCAGCTTTTCCTCTTCTGACTTGTCCCATGAAGCTTTACTTGGGCCTCCATGTAATCCATGGGATTTCTGCAGCTTTTAGTTTTAACTAAGTAATTTGTATGGCCGCCTGAGATGCTTCCAAATGTGCAGTAACTTGATTTTGGTATGTTCCCAGCTGCCTAATTAAAACCATGGAAAAAAATCATTTGGCTTAGGTGATTTTTAATTCTCCTTTCCTCCTCCTTTTATTTTTAAATCAAAAGAAATGTTTGGAGTCACATATCTAAGGGCTTATTCTAAACAGCTCTTTGGAAAGGGCACAGGTTGGAAATCCTATAGAGCAGGATAGGATATGGAGGAGGGTTGTCATGCATGTGTGTGGAGCTCGTTTGGACTCAGTGCCAAAGGTTATGGTACACACAGGAAAAATCAAATTGCTTGTGATCCTGCTCTTACTGCAGCATCCCTTTCAGAATGATGTAATGAGGAAAAGAAGATTTCCCCTTCCAAAGCCTTAATGAGGATTTTGGAACAACGGATGAGGACACAGCCCTGGGGGAGCCCAGTGAGGATGTGAAATGTGCTCAAGGAGTACCAGGAAAATGGTGCCCTTTGGGGCATCAGCAAAACCTCATGGTACTGTGGGAGTAGGGAACACCTTTTCTCATCCAAAGGAAACCTATAGCCTGCTCCAGACTATCCTTTATGGGGAGAAACTTGAGGAACAAGATGTAAAACCTTTCCCCCCAACACACAGAGTGAGTTTGGAAGTGGCAGCCTGTGAACAAGAAATGGCTTTTCTTCTTGCTGCGTCCACACGGCCAACAATCAAGATCTGGGCCTGTTATTGTAATTGTTTGGTGCAGTAACACACAGATTGAAGTTTGGTTTTTGTGGTATCTGGCTAAGCATGTCGACCTGATGTGGATCAAAGACTACATGGTAGAATTAAGCAAATATAATCAGTGTAATATGATTCATTCTTGTCCTGCTGAGCAGATGTTTGAACAGATGTCAGGTAAAAAAATAAAAATGTGCTGGGAAGTTAGTGCATTATTTTAAATTAGTGCATTTAAGAGAAGAGAGTATCTTTATTAACCCCGTTTAAGGTGAAAGAGAGTATTTTTGACTTTGGTTAGTGGGAAATTATCCTCCCTTGCCCTTGGATTGGGCAGCAATCCCTGGGCCCCTTGTCAGAATCAGGACAGTGTTGGTGGGCTGGGATCCTTGCCTATCATCCTGTTTGGCTTAAATCTCCATCATCTTGGGAAGCAACATTTAACACACTAAATAAAAAGAGGGTTGAACATTTTGAGTCATTACTGACCTGTTATCTGGGGAAAACCTTTGATTTGGCTTGTGTTGTGCAGTCACCACCATTATATTCTTGGGAGCTTCCCAGGTCCCTTGTTTGCAAAAATCAGCCTTATCTGGGATTTCTGCCTCAGCACTAAAATCAAGGGAGTCCTATTATGCACCTGATTAGTCACAGAATTATAGTAACTGGATGCAAATCTGGTAATTATTGAGGCAACACAATGCTAAACTCATTTAGAGATATATGTCCAGGCTTAGTGACCACCCAGAGATCTCATCGCCCCATTTAAACTGCAAAGGCATGACTGGAGCAGACCTTGAGCATCCACACTTTGCTCAGCCAAGAATGTTTCTGCAGCATTTCAGAGCTGTGCCTCCTTTCTTAGTCAGAACTCCACAAACCCTAAAAAAGAACTTGTGGCCGATAAAGAGCTGTTTGGAAGAGTGCCTGGGGATGAGTAACCCATCTCAAATTCCAGATATTCCAAAGAAAATTGCTGGTCTGCCAGAGCAGTAGTGCAGGACAGGTTGGTGGGACGGGAAGGGAATTCCTTACGTGTTCAGTGAGATTGCTGTTTGATTATATTCTAGATTTTAATCAGCTGATGGAAAAAACTCAGGATACAGGTGGCTTTTCCTTACCAGTTCTATTGGCTGGAGGGCTGATGTGCTCCAGCAACTACTGTTCAAAAGGAGAATAAATCAAAACAAATAAATAGGAAGGTTTGAGGTGACTCTGCTCCTCCACTCAGCAGTTTTGTGTCAGAAAGGAACATCAAGCCCTTCATCTCTGAGAGTCATTAATTTCTTGAGGCACCCTGGATGGTTTCCCTGTGAATCTCTGTGGAGATGATGCTTTTTATAACTATCTCATGTCACTGGGGAAAGCTTCTCCAGCCAGCACATTCACTCAGCCACCAGTGCTGCCTGACATTTACCCTGTGATGGGGCTTTGTTAACTTTGTCTGGCCATGCAGAGCCCTCTACATAAGGTCATTCTTTGCAAGAACAAACAATTCTGCAGACATATTATATCAAAACATCAATGCCTGGAAAAACTGGGCTTCAATCAAGTTGTTTTATTTACTACTCATTGCTCTTAACGATAATTTGACTTTTTGTTTCTTATTTTATCCCCTCTTCTCATTTTCTTTGCCATCAGGACATGTTACAGCTCTGTCCACTGCACACAGAGAAGTTCACATGTTTTGGAAACCTTTCAACTGAGGGACATATTTAGATGTGTCCCTGAAACACAAGCCTGTGTTG